CTGTGTCCCAAGCTATTTAAGACTTTATAGGTTAAAACTAATACCTAGAATTCCACCTAGAAGATTGTGAGGCAGCAGAGATCTTGGAGTACTATTTAATATGCTTTAAGGTGCAGCTCCACTGAATAAGTAGCCCACCACATTGTGCATTAGCTTCAGCTTCTGACGGGTCCTAAGGTAGCCTCCCATACCGCATATTACATCAATCTAATCTTGAGATAACAAAGGCATGAATAGCAGCATCAGAGAGGTGCATTCTTCTCACCAGGCTCAGACAGAAAAGTGCCAATGGTTGCAACCACTATCTGAACATCCAAGAGCAGCTCAGGATTTATCAACACTTTTACAAATGATGGTCACATTCCCTCAGTGATGGGGTGCTCATATAAATTCTGCTAAGCCATATGGCTGTTTCCTCAGCCCACCCTCCTATCTGTGCCTTGTCTAGATTAAATCACAGCCAACTCTCTCTCATCCACATCCTAATTTCACCTGAGATATTGTGTAATTCACTGGGTAACTTATACTTGGCTGGATCACTCATGACTGAGACAGAGAGCTGCATGAATGCATTGTGGCCTATATCAGATAGCAAGAACTAAACCATATGGGTGCACAATGCACACAAACTATTTATTCTAGTAACCTCTGCAGGAAACTCATAAATATTCATGGGCAAAACAAACTCCCAAAGCAAGCATATGGAAGGATATTTTCTCATGCTCATAATTAATAATTTCTATGGATTAACCTGCTTGGTTGAACTTCCTCCCACTCTGATACCAAAATGTATATGAATATAAATTGTCTATATACAAAATGTACTATACAATGTTTTGTGGGAGGCACCTCTGCTAGTCTACTTGAGCTCAACATGGATTTAGGATCGCCCAAAGATTCTGAAAGTTTTTTAAAATTGAGTCAAAATCACATTTGATTTTATAACTGAAATATGACAAACATTTTCTCTCATCTATAATATAAATATCTTTTTTCTATTTGAAAAATAATTGTCATTATATTGCAATATAATGACATGTGAGCACACTAGGAGAGTCAATTAAACTTTAGCATTACTCTGTGGTATGTGTATATATTCAAAGTAATAACTGCTTAGTTTAGGGACTAAAGTGAGGGTTTTGTTTTACTCCTGAAGATCTGCAAAACTGAGAGTAAACTGAGTTTTATTCCTTCTTGTAAATCAAAAGAATTGTTCACTAAATTGCAGTTACAAGGCCCATCAGTTATATCTGTACAAACCAAATGAAGGCAGTGAAGTTGGACAGGGGTTGCTGTGGGATCTCTCTGTGACAATGGGCACAATTGCATCACCATCATCTTTATTACAATGAAACATGCAAAGGAAAGAATTCAGGATAGTTGACTTGAAGAACAGCAGAAATAGTAATGTGTTGCCTATATAAACATTTTGTTAATATTGTAGCTGAAGACTGTAGAGCTGTAGATGTGAGTGGGGAGAAAAATCTTAAAAGTAAATTAACTAACTATCCAGTTGTTTGTTCTATTGATTTTTGCTTTGGATCTCTTTCTTTTGATCCATAATCTTTTTTTTTCCCTTTGGCAGAAGGAAGGGAAGAATTATAAATAATACTATAATTCAACTGGGTGTGTACTGAACTCATTTATTTCTGCTTTAATTGTATGACTTTTACTACACCTCTACCCCGATATAATGCTGTCCTCGGGAGCCAAAAAATCTTACCGCGTTATATCGAACTTGCTTTGATCCACCGGAGTGCACAGCACACCCGACCCCTTCCAAGCGCTGCTTTACCGCGTTCTATCTGAACTCGTGTTATATCAGGTCGCATTATATCAGGTAGAGGTGTATATGTACAGAATCCACACAAATATGGGTTAGCTGGCTTCGGCAAAGCATTCAGGCTCAAATCCTCAAAGGAAGATAGGTACTTGAACCCCAGATTTAGGGGTAGGGGCTAGAGGACACCCATTCCCTTACAAGGTATAGCCTTGGGTACTTATCTGAGTGTGGGAAACCTTGGTTCAATTCCCCCTTCTGCTTGAAGAGAAGAGATTTAAACACTCTCACTGATCTCTAGGAGATTCTGTTTGGGGGCTCTCCCAGTTTCTCTCGTTGAAGCTTTAATTGAATAATTAAATATTAATTGGGCCCAAGAAAGAATGAAAACCCCTCTAAAGCTCAGTAGTTAGGGCAGGCACCTGAGATGTGGGAAATCACTGTTCAACTCCCTTCTTATGACGTAGAGAGGGGAATTGAGCTAAGAATACTGGCATATTAGGTGAATATCCTAAACACTGGGCTAAAGGCTATGAGGAAGGCTACCACCTCCACTCCCCTGGTCATTTTTATGTGGACTTAGGCAGGCACCCAACTCCTTCTCACAAAAAGTGGTTTAGTGGCCTAATTCACCTGACTGCAGGAGACAGGTACTTCTTGGTTGTGGATTGCTAGCAGACATAGGCACCTCCCTGCAACCTGTACCTAGGTACTGAACTCAGAGACCGGGATGGAGCTTTGGACACACCTTTCTTGTCAGCTTCTCCCATTGGCAGTTCTGCAACTAGTGTACTGGCTTTTGGAGATCCCATTCTTTAGAACATATCTCTCCCTATGCTTTGTATAGGGAGCCTAGGTGCCTAACTCAGGGTTTGTAGAGTCCACTGATTTTCTAGACAGCTAAAGTTAAGTGTTGCAACACTGAGTGTTGTAATGTCCCAATCCATTTGTCGACCTGGGCCATTGGCAGATGCATAACTCTGGAGGGAGTTGGGAATTGGCAAAGTCCCCATAAAGGAGACTGACTACTCATGGACTTCTGAGTTAACCATTTGTTTTACAGTAACAAATTTCAGACAATGTGGTACCTCTTTATGTAAATAATAAATCATACAATAAAGCTGTTTTGTCTATAAAATGTACATGTCAATTTGTAAAAGCATCAGTTTTAACAGCCTTTTCAAAAATGCACCTATTCTATGCTAACAGATGCCATATTATAAAGTTTAGCTAAAGAGAAAAAATGAACAAAAAAGAACAAATAGCCTTTGTGTGCATTGGTAGAGATTGAAGGATACATACAGCTGATTATAGAAGATCTAACATGAAAATAAAGGGCTTTGTTTACAGATGAACTGATATGTGATGATTCCTTAATTACAGTAACAGGATTATCCTCATTGTGATGCTCTCATCTCATCTTTCTCATCGTCTTTTCAGTCCAAGCGACAAATTCTCTCTTCTTGTTTAAGCCATGAAAGTTGAGGAGGCGAGGCTTTAAAGATGAGGTGCCAGGTTTACACCATGTCACTTACACTTTCCTCTATTTAAAGATTAACTTGTGGAGCATTCCTTGTGTGTTCTCTAAATCTTTACAGTAACGAAAAATAATAGCAAAAATTAGACTTCTCATCCCAATTCAATATAACATGCTGTCTAACAAATGTTAGCTATTAACATGTGTAATAAAGGTATTAATTGTGAAACAAAGACTAAATATTGTCTGTACTTCAATATTTACAAATTAAAATTTTCATACTGAGTTCTTCAAAAATTGTTTGTTCTACAAAAGGGATTTCAAGGAAAACATAATGTGCCTGAAATGACTGAGTAAAATTATTTTAAATAATCAATACACTAATACTGTTTTTATATTATCATAGAATCATAGGACTGGAGGGGACCTCGAGAGGTCATCTAGTCCAGTCCCCTGCACTCATGGCAGGATTAAGTATTATCTAGACCGCCCCTGACAGATGTTTGTCTAATCTGCTCTTAAAACTTGCCAATGATGGAGAATCCACAACCTCCCAAGTCAATTTATTCCAGTGCTTAACCATCCTGACAGTTAGGAAGTTTTTCCTAATGTCCAACCTAAATCATCCTTGTTGCAATTTAAGACCACTGCTTCTTGTCCTGTCCTCAGAGGTTAAGGAGAACAATTTTTCTCCCTCCTTGTAACAACCTTTTATATACTTGTGGTTCATCCTGTACACTCATGCAGGGCAGCTACTCCCCTGCACAAATGTACAGGATGAACCACAATGTGCCCCATACATAGTGATTTTCCTGCACATGGTTGTAAGCCCAAATTTTTCAGGATAGTTTTATTAGAGTGAAGCTCTACTGTCTTACTCATTACTATTGTAAATTGAGAGAGGTAAAATACCAAGAGCAGTTTTAAATAACAGTAAAAATTTAGTTATGTTATTTATTCCTAATAAATGAGTTGATGGACTATTCCCACAAGCAACAGAGGGTCCTGTGGCACCTTTGAGACTAACAGAAGTATTGGGAGCATAAGTTTTTGTGGGTAAGAACCTCACTTCTTCAGATGCAAGCCTGCATGACTTGCATCTGAGGAAGTGAGGTTCTTACCTACGAAAGCTTATGCTCCCAATGCATGACTTGCATCTGAAGAAGTGAGGTTCTTTCCTACGAAAGCTTATGCTCCCAATACTTCTGTTAGTCTCAAAGGTGCCACAGGACCCTCTGTTGCTTTTTACAGATTCAGACTAACACGGCTACCCCTCTATTCCCACAAGGCTACCCCTCTATTCTACCCCTCTATTCCCACTTGAGTAAAGTGTTGTAGGATCAGGCACATAAGGATCAGGCTGAGAAATATCTTCCCCATAACAATGGTTAGAGATATGGAGAAGGAGGCATCTTTCCTATAAAACCTTCTTCCCTCCCTCTATTGTTACTTGTGACAATACCATTGATATTCACTGACAATAAGGCCCATAACTTTAGTCATCTTTGACTCCTTTTTCTCTTGCCCTACTGTAGTGGTCCTTCGCTCTCTAATGGGGAGGGAGGTCACTCTGCCTTGGTGTAAGGGGAGGTAGTCTTTGGGCTCGGGCCGCACCAGCGGGGCCAAGCCGTATGCAGTCTATGGTTCTGGGCCTGGCTAACAAGGCAAACACATACCAATAGTCTGGGGCTCTTGTCCCCACCCTTGGGCGGCGCAGTGCCCAATCTAGTCTTTAGTTTACCGCCCCTCAGCTGGGACTGACACCAATTAACTGTCTGGGGCCCCAGCCCTCGGGGCGGGGCCGGCAGCAGGCTATACCGTAGGCCTTCAGGCCTAAGCAGCCAGCAAACACAGAGTCTATAGCTCTGGCCCTCTGGGCAGGCAGATCAGGGAGCAGGCTTTAGCCTAAGCGTTTGGGCTCAGGCAGCCAGCAGGCAGACACACTTAATAAGCTCTAGCCCTTTGGGGCAGGGCAGAGCAGAGCAGGGTTTAGTTTAAGCTTGTGGGCTCAGGCAGCCAGCAAACGTGGACAGACTTAGGGTTCAGATAGGGTGAGCACCCACACAGTCTAGGGGCTCCAAAGGGGTGGAGCACCCAACAGGCAGTCTAGGGTGCTGACAGGAACATTCAAGAGTCACAGCCTCCTGGCCTAAGGTGGGGAGTCAGCCACCCCAGGGTTGGGGTGGCAGGGGGACGCGGGCCCACCCAACTCCACCACTACGTCCCAGCCGAGGGCCCTAACATTAGCAGAGACTGGTCTGCCACTGGGACGGTGGAGATCCAGCCGCAACACGCTGACCTAGAAGCAATCAGCCCGGTAGCTGGACAGTCATTAGCTGCCCCTGGGCTACTTCCTATCTCTGGCATCCACCAGTCCTCGGGCTCCTCTGGGTAGACAGCCAACAGTAGTCCCAGCAACATCTCGTCTGGGTTCTTCTCCTCCAGGGGCAGTGTGCAGCAGAGTGTAGATTCAGCTCCCGGATGCCGCAGCAGGGCAGAGGCATCCGTCTCCTCAGCTGGCTCCCTCTCAAGTGAGCTGCAGAGCCCTCCCTTTATACTTCCTGCCCCGCCCCGGTACTTCTGGTGAGGGGGATGGGGCAGGTTCGGCTCTGCCCACCAATGGGAGTGTGGTGGTCTCTTGCTGTCCAGTCCGGAGGGAGGCCACTCTGCCTCACTACACCTTCCCCTCAAGTCTGTCTCCGGGAAACCAGAGATGGCAATGTCTCCTTCCCCCAACCCAGAGAAGAAGTCGGCCTTGGTATGGTCTCTACCTGCTCGATGATGTACCATGAAAGCATATAGCTGCAGGGCCAAATACCAGCGCATCAGTCGCATGTTCATTTCCTTAACAGTGTTCAACCACTTAAGGGGGACATGTCCAGTCACTAGCATGAAGGGTGCCCCTAGGAGGAAGTATCTCAGGGCATCCACAGCCCACTTGACCACCAGAGCTTCCTTCTCAACAACCAAGTAGTTCCGTTCTTGGGGCAACAACTTGCAGCTGATATATAGATGAGGTGCTCATCTCCGTTTACCTCCTGGGAGAGGACGGCTCCCAGGCCCATCTCCGATGCGTCCATCTGTAACAGAAATGCCCAGTTAAAGTCCAGGCTGAAGAACATGGGCTCTCGGCACAGTTGGTCTTCGAGGATTTGGAAGGCCCATCTGCAATCGTCGGTCCAACACTCGCGTCAGGGTCTGTCCTTCAGGAGCTCTGTCAGCAGTGCTGCAATCGAGACAAAGTCAGGGACAAAGCAGTGAAAGGTTTCAGAGTAGCAGCCGTGTTAGTCTGTATCCGCAAAAAGAAGAACAGGAGTACTTGTGGCACCTTAGAGACTAACAAATTTATTAGAGCATAAGCTTTCGTGGACTACAGCCCACTTCTTCGGATGCA